AGAGAGTTTTGTCTTATGCCACCCACAGACTATAAAGCACATTCAAAACGCATTTAGTCCCTTAAAGAATTCTGGGGACTGTTAAGGGTTACTCCATGAGGGGTAAACTATAGTACCCAGAATTCTTTGAGGGCAGGAAATGTGCTTTGACTGTGCTTTAAAGGTCTTGTGCCTTGTGCCATATTCACAACATGCTGTTGTGAGCTTCTACACAACATGCTGAGGAAGTGTTCCTATGAAGCCCCTGCAGATTCTGTTTTTCAGTGGGCTGTCACACCGAGGTCTTTTCGAGGCTAACTCCAAAGAGGCAACACAATCGTGGTGTTGACAGGCCATGTTGTCAACACACTGACAGGGGCACACAGTGGGAGTGCAGTATTATTAGCTCTCCATTGTAAGCTCACTATGTTGCAGTCCGGGTCAGCTTGCCCCAGGCAAGAGCACCTTAAGATGCATTACTTGTACTTAGTCGCGGCTGCAGTGTGCTGCTCTCACCCCAGGGGAACCGTTAGGCAGCATTTAAGTTCACCAAATGGGAATGTTTCCCACTACTCTCTACAGAAATCATAGAGGAAAACCAAGTAACTCCCGAGTCCCAGCCCTCAAACAACAGAGAGGATGGTGTGGGGTTGGACCCTCCCACATCTTTTGTGGTGATCCCCATAGCTATTGTTTTCAGGAGGCTGTGAAGGGGCCCAAGTGCGGCTAAAACTCTGAGGTATCAGATTTCTGGATTTGGGCTGGGTACGCACTTGACCTTTAAGGCACATTTCCCCCTCAAAGAATCCTGAAAACTGTACTTTGTTAAGGGTTCTGGGAAATGTAGCTCTGTGAGGGATAAACTGCAAGTTCAGGACTATCGGGCAAGTCATGGGCTTTAAATGTGTTGTGTGTACACAAGCTGAAGCTGCATACAAACTAATTATTATTATTTTTATTTATTATTATTTATTCCCCGCCCATCTGGCTGGGTTTCCCCAGCCACTCTGGGCGGCTTCCAACAAAGTATTAAAATACAGTAGTCTCTTAAACATTAAAAGCTTCCCTAAAGAGGGCTGCCTTCAGATGTCTTCTAAAAGCCTGGTAGTTGTTCTTCTCTTTGACATCTGGTGGGAGGGCGTTCCACAGGGCGGGTGCCACTACCGAGAAGGCCCTCTGTCTGGTTCCCTGTAACCTGGCTTCTCGCAGTGAGGGAACCGCCAGAAGGCCCTCGGTGCTGGACCTCAGTGTCCAGGCAGAACAATTGGGGTGGAAATGCTCCTCCAGGTATACTGGACCGAGGCCATTTAGGGCTTTAAAGGTCAGCACCAACACTTTGATTTGTGCTCGGAAATGTATATACACTCAAAGCACATCCTCCCAACCCCTGAAAGAATTCTGGGGACTGTAGTTTGTTAAGGGTTGCTGGGAATTATAACAGTGAGGGGTGAACTACAATGCCCAGAATTCTTTGAGCAGAAACAATGTGCATCAAATGTTCTTTCAAAGGTCTGGTGCGTATCCAGCCCTAATCACAGGCCACCTTTCTTTCCCCCTGAAATGTTAGCACTGCCCAGTCCAGCTCCTGAAAATTAAGGCAGAGTATGGCATGTATGGCCTGCCCCAGTTGTTCCTTCCCTATATCTTGTCTCCCTGGCATTAAGCTAAGTAAGATAATTGTTGTTGATGTTTTGTTTTTCGGTTAATTGCTCAGGTGCCTAACGGAAAAGAATGAGAGGCGTCTTATATAAATATGAAAAGTACAATAAACTCTGCAGCTGGGCTTTTAAAGAAGCTGGCTGATTGTATCTGCAACCACATAAAGCAAAATAACCCAAACAGAGCTCATTGAACAGGTGGCGGTAATGATAATAAGATGAAAATGATGGTGAGCAAAAATCTCAACCCTCTAGTTGTGACCTGTATCCCACCTATTGATGTATAAAAGATTACAGGGATGCTTTTCTGAATGTTATGCAATACACAAAGCCCTGATCTCCCATTTGCAATCTACTGCCACAGTCGAGATGCACACAGGAAAGGGATACAATAGTGTCAGGGTACATGGTGCTGGCCCCACCATTAGGTAGAGTGAGGCAGCTGCCTCAGGCAGCAGAGGATGAGGTGAGGAAAGGCAGTGCAGTATTGGAGAACTGGGCTATCAGCTACACGTGCTCCATGGCCTGCCCTGAACTACTAAGCCGCTCTGCTGCACTCGGGGTTGTAAAATGATGGAGAGCCTTCACAAGCAAAGGAATGAGTTTAGACACTAGAAGAGGATATATTGATTAGTTATTATCCTTCCTTGCTCACATGAGTGAGATCAGCAAAATATCATCCTTAGCAGCTTAAATTTGGAAGCTAAGACAAGGTTGATTTAACCTTCTAGAAACAATAATCCAGGATGCTTTAAGGCAGACTAGATTTTCCCTAGTATTACCCACCTTCTCCCCTTAAGGATTGAAACAACAATCACACAGACATTTTTGTGAAGAAATAAAAGAGGTGTTTACTTACATAATCTAGGTCTCAAAGCAGGAGTGACATTAGTAAAATAAAGGCCAGTTTGTAACTACTATCCAAGTTACAAAAGTACAAAATGTAAGTTCAAAAATGGTGTCTGAGCTGCAGAGCTCAGTTTGGAAGCATGATGAAGAAAGAGAGGCAGGAAGGAAGTATGTCGTGTTGCAACTTCCTGCCAAGACCGACAAAGGGAAGTGATCTCACGGAGTTCTCTCTCCAGCAATCTGTACAGGAAAGCTCTGTGAGCTTCAGCCCCTTCATGTGCCCATCTGGCAAAGCATGAATTGTTGGTTTGACTGCAACAACGTCCCACAACAAATACAAAAGGCTACCCACTTCGCTAGATGACCATTCCCAAGTTGGAGGGTGGTGAAGGGTTGGGATGGAGTCAGAGTGCTCATCCCCACTGCTCCCATATCCTGTGGTATCTCAACATTTAACAGTAACGCCCAATTGTGTGTGACATCTTGAAAGGGGTGTGTCTGCACACCCAGCAGTATGTGCTTAGGCCAGGGGTCAGCAAACTTACCGTGCCCCGGACTGGTGTCTCCAGTGCCAATCGTGTGGCGGGCCGGAGGACGGGAGAGCGCATGCCCATACGCGTGCACACACGCTATTTCCGGTGCACTTCCAGGTCGGAGGAGCACCGGAAATAGCTTGTACAGTGGTACCTCGGGTTAAGAAATTAATTCGTTCTGGTGGTCCGTACTTAACCTGAAACTGTTCCTAACCTGAAGCACCACTTTAGCTGATGGAGCCTCCTCCTGCTGCTGCTGCGCCGCAGGAGCACGATTTCTGTTCTCATCCTGAAGCAAAGTTCTTAACGTGAAGCATTATTTCTGGGTTAGCGGAGTCTGTAACCTGAAGCGTATGTAACCTGAAGAGTATGTAACCCGAGGTACCACTGTATACATGTGCACGGACCTCCTCCGACCCGGATGTGCACTGGAAATAACGCTTGCGCATGCGCAAATAATGCTTGCGCATGTGCGCAAGCTATTTCTGGTGCTCCTCTGACCCGGAAGTGGGTAGCCATGCAGCGCAGCACCGGTAAGAGCGGGCAGCGGGGGTCGCCGCAGGCCAGATAAACGCGTCCCTCGGGCCTTATCCGGCCCACGGGCCTTAGTTTGAGGACCCCTGGCTTAGGCTCTCCACTTAGTTGAGAACGCCTTTTGTGTAGGATTCCCTTTCAGGCATTTCACTGAACTCGCAAATATTCTTAAGTGGAGCCTACGCTGATGGGGCTTATGTCTGGAGGGGTTCGGAACAACCCTGACTTCACCCTAACAGGGCACAAAGAAAGATGAAATAATAATAATAATAAATTTTATTTATATCCCGCCCTCCCCAGCCGAAGCTGGGCTCAGGGCGGCTAACAACAATCAAAATAATCCAGCATTCTAAAAACATTCATTATAAAATTAATTAAAATCAAATTGATGGCAACCATTAAGCAAAATTCTGTGCAGATTGCCAGAGGAGGGAGTCAGGCTGCGCCCTGACCAAAGGCCTGGTGGAACAGCTCTGTCTTGCAGGCCCTGCGGAAAGATGTCAGGTCCCGCAGGATATCTGTGCGTGTGAATGTGTGTAATATAAAGAAAACAGCTTCCAGAATTGGAATGTGTTCCCTGAAATGTACACTTGGGGGGGGGGGGCACGGCATGTATATTTGAATATTCATTTCTGTTGAGATTTATTATCTCTGTAATTAGCTTGTCACGAATCCACTGACAAAGCAGTTCTTCTGTTTGACAGAGGCTAGAAGCAAAGGTTTACTTAGTGCCTGCCAAAGAAGAAGAAAATAACGAAGCTGTCAAGCTTTAAGCAACCAGAAGCATTAGTGGCCTCATCCCCTGCCCATTACGGAACAACCAAAGGCCTTATGCAGCCTGACTGCTCTCCCAGGAACACACAACTTCAGTCCTCATATGGAAATTCACCAATATGTGCCAAAGTTCAATGCACCTTCACTGTCCAAGGTGGTATAGCCCTCTCCTGGGAAGGTTGTTGTTGTTTAGTCGTTTAGTCGTGTCCGACTCTTCGTGACCCCGTGGACCAGAGCATGCCAGGCACTCCTGTCTTCCACTGCCTCCCACAGTTTAGTCAAACTCATGTTGGTAGCTTAGAGAACACTGTCCAACCATCTCGTCCTCTGTCGTGCCCTTCTCCTTGTGCCCTCCATCTTTCCCAACATCAGGGTCTTTTCCAGGGAGTCTTCTCTTCTCATGAGGTGGCCCAAGTATTGGAGCCTCAGCTTCAGGATCTGTCCTTCCAGTGAGCACTCAGGGCTGATTTCCTTAAGAATGGATAGGTTTGATCTTCTTGCAGTCCTGGGAAGGTACTACCTCAGTTATCAGAGGGAGAGCTGCATCTCTCAAAACAACAAACTGCCCACTCCCAGAAATATCCTGCCTCAGTTCTCAAGTGGAGCTGCATCTTCACTGGTGCTACAGTCCTTTGCCTCAGTTCCCAGATGGCAAGTTGCTTCTATAGGGAATGGTCATAGCTCAGTGGTAGAGCATCTGCTTTGCATGCAGAAGGTCTTAAATTCAATCTGTGGCATATCCTGGTTGGACAGGGAGAGACCATTGCCTGAAACCCCAAAGAGCAGCTGCCAATCGGTGTAGACAATAATGAGCAAGATGGGCCAATGGTCTGACTCAGTATAAGGCAGATTCTTGCGTTCTTTGAAAGCACCTCCATGTAAAATTTGCACCCCGCACCAGAACTTACCACCTTGGAAAGAAGGCTTTTTCACAAGGGGAGAAGGTATTGAAGAAATGTCACAGCAATACATGCGTGGAGTCCTTCATCGACTACTTGCAATCTCACTGGTTCTGCACCAGTAAAAGAGAAGAGCGAACAGCTCTGTCTTTTCATGGGGAAACACAGGCTTTCCTTCTCGTGAATACAAGCAGCGTGCTTTATTATTTGGAGTTGCTGCAGAAAACGGCCTCTGCAGTAACCCAAGCAACCTATTGCTAATATTTCTCCTCGCTCATCCCCAAAGTTTTGAACACCAACTTTTAAATGGGCCATTTGCAACTTGTTAAAGTTGGCCTTAAGAGGTTGCACTGAATAATAAAAAAGGATCAAGCTTTTGATGTTAACTTCCATCTTCCAGGGGGGTGGGAGGGGGGGGGAGCCTCAGTGCCAGAGCGAAGTCGTTTGGCCTATTTCACCCAGGCAGGGGGGGGGGGGGGAGACAAGAAGCACACACTACTTTTCATTTAGTAGGAAATGTCTGTTCTTAAAAAACATGACAGATAGTTAATTAGGAAACATCTGGCCAAACCGAAGGCAACAGAAGTTGCTCCAATCAATGATGGTTCATTGAAAAGCTTTTCATCTGAACTCCAAGAGAAACAGCAGACTCAGCGTTTCTTGCTCCACCGCCCCCTCAGAAAGGGAACACTTGCCGATAAAGTGCGAAAATAAAAAGGAGATATAGATATACAGATATGCACACGCAGGGATGTATTTGATGCTAGCCCTAATCGGAAAAGATCCACTGAAACTAATGAACCTAAGTTAGTCATGTTCATTCATTGCAGTGGACAGGATTCAACTAAGTTCTTGCAGGCACAAAATGAGGTCAATTTGCAGTGGGTTGGCCTACATGACCAATTCCTACATGACCCTTCCAATTCTACAGTGTATGATTCTAACAGGGTTTTCCTCTCACTCCACCCATGGACCCCCTAAATCTGCTCTGGGGGGCTGAGGAAACCCACAGAACAAGTTTAGGGGGCACACGGAGGGAGGAGATAGGGGAAAGTCATAGAACTATGAGGTCGAAAGGGACCTCAAAAGTCATCTACACCAACCCCCTGCAATGAAGGAAACTTTTTCCAACATGGGGCTCAAACCCATGACCTTGTGATTAAGAGTCTCTTGCTCTACCAACTGAGCTACCCTCTAGTTCTGTCACTGCATGTGCATACTTGTTCCCTGTGCACAAACCCCATTTAGCATTAGGCAGAATTCCACCCACTGGGTCTATGCTGAGTAGGGCTATCATTGGATACAACCCATATTCACTATGAGAAATGAGTTGGGAATCTAGGCAAATATTGTGCAGGCTGGGGTAGTGTCAAAGGCATGGCAAAGCTTTTGGCACTGCCAGGGCGTTTTTGAGAGGCTTTCCTGGGGGAATGTGGGAATTTGCTGGAGAAGCTTGATTCACATTGCTGCAGCGCACTGTTTGGAAGTACGGTTACCATTTTGTATGGTAGCAGGTTGTGGAAAGAGAAACAAGGCACATCAGAGATGCCTTATGAGTAACACTAAGCTATGCTTGAGAGCGGGGAAATCACGGTAAGCAATACAGTGGTACCTCAGGTTAAGTACTTAATTTGTTCCGGAGGTCCGTACTTAACCTGAAACTGTTCTTAACCTGAAGCACCACTTTAGCTAATGGGGCCTCCTGCTGCCGCTGCACCGCCGGAGCACGATTTCTGTTCTCATCCTGAAGCAAAGTTCTTAACCTGAAGCACTATTTCTGGGTTAGCGGAGTCTGTAACCTGAAGTGTATGTAACCTGAGGTACCACTGTATTGGCATATAAAAAGTCATCAGGGTTGGCTTGCATTAAAATACAACCTTAAAAAAAATTATCCCCCTTTCCTACTTTGAGGAATTCTCTTCAGTCAGATCCTCCCCCTTCCACAGTTGCATTTCACTATGTGTTTATGCTTTTTTAAACAACAACAACAAGATTTAAAAGCACACCTTGTGGTTTAGTCATTTAGTCGTGTCCGACTCTTCGTGACCCCATGGACCAGAGCACGCCAGGCACTCCTGTCTTCCACTGCCTCCCACAGTTTGGTCAGGCTCAGGCACACCTACTGAGACTTAAAAGCAACTCACCTACAGATACCTACTAAAGCAAAATTAGGCATTGAAATGTGCCTCCTAAAAGTGTTGCTGCCTTACCATTTTGTGGTCATGTTTGTTGGGAATCTGAATACGTGCAGCTTCACACACAGAGTCAATTAGGGTTTGGCAGACAGCCAAGGCAATGTGAAAGAGTAAGTCTGCCTGGTGATACAGAGGCATGGAGACAGCTCCATGATTGGTCAAGTTCTCTCACGGTGAATGATGATTTATGGCCTACAAATTAGAGTTCAGTGGTTCAGTGTCAGTGTAGGAGTTGTGTGTCGTGTATGAGAGAGCTAGTTAAAGATCCGTGTTCTGTTCTGTTCCTGTAAATAGTTCACTGTATATAGTAAACACTTAACTACAAGTTCCTAGTTCCTGCTTCGTCCATCCTGTCTGTAGCCAGTTGCCAATTGCTTTCGTGAATTCTGTGTTTACTCTGCTAGGTCTGGCTAAGGTCCTACAACTAGTCAGAAAGTTGTGAAACACCAATAGGTTATACCAATAATGTTAAAAGTAAAATTAGCTGTCTCTGTGCCTAAGGTGGGGGGAGAATAAAAATCCACATTTGGTCAACACTTGTCTTAAGCCAACCAAAGTTTCACAAAATAGGGTGTTAAGCAGGTTTCAGCTAGGCCTATCCCTAGAAAGAAACAAGCAATGGTTGAGCCCGCCATTTCTGAAAACAAAAAACCCAACTGTTAACCCAAATCTGTCTCCGTCCGATGATAAAACATATGGGATCTTTCGCAGGCAGCAAACAGAAATAAAGAGAAAGTATGTGGGGGTTTTTTTCTATATTAAAAAAGCTGGAGATTTTTCTAAGCAAATAAATATGTATTTTGGAATTTACCTTAACACCATGGCTCTGGCTCTATGGCTGCTCCTAACATGCAAACCTATCCCTGCTTGTCTCGAATTGCTAAACTGGGTTTGGGACAAATCTGTGTACTCCATCATCTGGCCACCAACAATTCTACTCCATGTCTAATAAAGGGATGGGTGGAAAGTGGCCCCACCCCTGTCAGTCACCTGACTGATTATATGGCTTTTCATGGGATGTGCTTCAACAGGTAGTAGACTGCTGTGTTTTGAACACACCTCCCCACATGAGCTAAGGCCATATTCCCATGGGAGCTCATTCCATTCCGCTAAAGTTTCACTCGCTATTAATTTCTGCATTAATATTTGAAATTTTGTACAATGGAAAAGGAGCGGAAGATAATGCATGCTTGAGCACTCATTTCCATGTTAGTTGATTCCAGGAAGAAGAAGAAAATCTGTTTGCAGCCCCCTTAACCTGGAAAATGGCAGGAGAAAAGGGATAACATTTGTGATGGTAGACCAGCTTTATGGCTGTTTTCATGGGGGAACAGAAAGCAGTGGCGTTGTCCAATGAGGTTCATTGTTGTGCCACGCCACGCCCACTGGTGTGAATGAAATTCAGTGCGACATGTTGGTATATCGGTCAAAAAACCACAGTTCCATAACACAATGGGTAGTGCAGTGTGAAAGGAATGAAAGTGGACAGAAGCAGTATAATCAGGGAAAGTAACACAATATTCCCCATGTCTGAATGTGTGGCATGACATAAACAAGATCTTACCTTGAGGGAGAAATGGCCGTTTTGACAGGGACATTGAAAAAGGTAGAGGGAGAGCTCTGAGCTTTAGGAAGCACTGTGAGAAGGCTAACTCTTCCTAGAGAACTGAAGTGCCCAGCGATTTTCCCCCCTCTTCCAAAGGAAGAGAAATGCTGCACCTGTGGAACTTCTGCACTGCTTGGAGAAGTGTGGCATACCCTCCAACATTTCTCTGATGAAAATAAGGACTTCCTATTCAACAACAACAACATTCTGAAGAAGTGTGGATGCACACGAAAACTCATATCAATAACAAACTTAGTTGGTCTCTAAGGTGCTACTGGGGGGACGCGGGTGGCGCTGTGGGTTAAACCACAGAGTCTAGGACTTGCCGATCAGAAGGTTGGCGGTTTGAATCCCCGTCACGGGGTGAGCTCCCGTTGCTCGGTCCCTGCTCCTGCCAACCTAGCAGTTCGAAAGCACATCAAAGTGCAAGTAGATAAACAGGTACCGCTCCGGCGGGAAGGTAACGGCGTTTCTGTGCACTGCTCTGGTTTGCCAGAAGCAGCTTAGTCATGCTGGCCACATGACCTGGAAGATGTACGCCGGCTCCCTCGGCCAATAAAGCGAGATGAGCACCGCAACCCCAGAGTCGGCCATGACTGGACCTAATGGTCAAGGGTCCCTTTACCTTTACCGTTAAGGTGCTACTGGAAGGATTTTTTTTTAATTTTGTTTCGACTACAGCAGACCAACACGGCTACCTACCTGTAACAACAATAGCTTTTTTATTTATGCCCTGCCCATCTGACTGGGTTGCCCCAGCCACTATGAGCAGTTTCCAATATATATAAAAAATATAATAAAACATTAAACATTAAAAAACTTATCACTGTGGTCTAAACCACTGAGCCTCGTGGGCTTGCCGATCAGAAGGTTGGCGGTTCGAATCCCTCCAATGGGGTGAGCTCCCGTTGCTTAGTCCCTGCTCCTGCCAACCTAGCAGTTCGAAAGCACGTCAAAGTGCAAGTAGATAAATAGGTACTGCTCCGGCGGGAAGGTAAACGGTGTTTCCGTGCGCTGCTCTGGTTCACCAGAAGTGGCTTAGTCATGCTGGCCACATGACCCGGAAAAACTGTCTGCAGAAGGGGACAAACGTCAGCTCCCTCGGGCAGTAAAGCAATATGAGCACTGCAACCCCAGAGTCGTCTGCAACTGGACTTAACTGTCAGGGGTCCTTTACCTTTACCTTTTTAAAGGGAAAATGGGACATTCTGGGATCAAATAAAAAACCAGGACAGCTTCTGCAAATCTGTACTGTCCCTGTAAACTAGAGACACTTGGAAGTTTTGGTGGCGGGGAGCTTAACAATATTAATCGACTTTTTGGATGGGGAACAAATGATAACAATTTTTCTCTATGCCTGCCTGCCCCAACTTGGTGTTTCTCAAATGTTTTGGACTACAACCACAACCATCCCTGACTATGCAGTTGGACTGATGGGAAATGTAATTAAAAATAATAATAATCTGGGTGGGGAAAGCTGCTCTATGTGGCCAGCAACTTCCTTGTATTTTTCTGTAGATAATTATGGCAGCATAAGCAATGACCACTGTGCAAAATCTTAGGTGTGATCACCATTTGGGTAAAGGAATGCAAACAACATAGCTGTTTGTGGCTATGTCGATTTATCCTGAACTAAGCTACATTTTAAAAGCAAACGAGTGGGAGTCATCCACTATTCAGTAAGAAAATGTATGCTGTGCTAAAGTACTCTCTGTCTCTCCTTCCCACTCCCCCCAGTTGGAAAATCCAGGCAGCAAACAAGGACGATATATCTCCCGCCCCCAAATTAATTGCGACTGTTTTGATTAAAGTGCATTATCATATAAATATTTTATTAGGAGTGGGATTAAATCTTCCTTTGCTTATGAACTGTGACAACTTTAAAGTCTAACCTTTTACGGCTTGGAAACACATAATTATTTTGCTCATTATCCATGTTTAATAGTTCGATCTCTTAATACGCCTTGCCATTTGGAACCTGCCGTTGGTGCCAAGCCTCAGATCGATGCTGTTAGTTATTCGTGCTCCAGCACATAATTAAGCTAAAATTAAAAGCAATTTAACCTTGCAGATCATCCAGAGTGTGGTATTAATCTGGCCAGGAATAGACTCGTATATATCAAAGGGACCACAATGCCACTTGCAAAGCATTTGAAACAGTTCAGCCTCATTGAAATCAATGGAACGAAGTCATCTCATATGTTGTTTCCGTGGTTTAAGTAGAAGATGGGGTACCTGTGGCCTTGCAGGTGTTCCATGACTACAGCTCCCATCACCCCCCACGCTGTCCTCCTTTCCATCTAGCCACCCTAAACCACATCTATTGATTTTTATTCACTGCTTTAGAGATGGTATTATTAATCTCAATTTGTTTGTTTGGCCACATTCACACCGTCCATTTAAGTCATGGCTCTCCACAAGGAAGCGAGGGAGATGTTGGGAGATTCCTGGGAATGGCTGATGCAGAACTGAGACATTTTGGCACCTGAGGCAAACCACAAAATGCCCCTTCCTGCCAGAGAAGAAGGAATAAGTGACGATCATAGAATCATAGAATCATAGAGTTGGAAGAGACCACAAGGGCCATCGAGTCCAACCCCCTGCCAAGCAGGAAACACCATCAGAGCACTCCTGACATATGGTTGTCAAGCCTCTGCTTAAAGACCTCCAAAGAAGGAGACTCAACCACACTCCTTGGCAGCAAATTCCACTGTCGAACAGCTCTTACTGTCAGGAAGTTCTTCCTAATGTTTAGGTGGAATCTTCTTTCTTGTAGTTTGGATCCATTGCTCCGTGTCCGCTTGTCTGGAGCAGCAGAAAACAACCTTTCTCCCTCCTCTATGTGACATCCTTTTATATATTTGAACATGGCTATCATATCACCCCTTAACCTCCTCTTCTCCAGGCTAAACATGCCCAGCTCCCTTAGCCGTTCCTCATAAGGCATCGTTTCCAGGCCTTTGACCATTTTGGTTGCCCTCCTCTGGACACGTTCCAGTTTGTCAGTGTCCTTCTTGAACTGTGGTGCCCAGAACTGGACACAGTACTCCAGGTGAGGTCTGACCAGAGCAGAATACAGTGGCACTATTACTTCCCTTGATCTAGATGCTATACTCCTATTGATGCAGCCCAGAATTGCATTGGCTTTTTTAGCTGCCGCTACACTGGAAGATCTACACTGGGAACGAGTGGTGGTAAAGTGTGAAGTTCTACATTGGGAGCAAGGTGAGGAATCAGATCAACGTTACTTGATGCTTGAAGTGGGACTCAAAGGCCATCATCAAAGGAGGCCTGCTCTGAATCACACCTAGGGGTGAGAGAAGACCAGCAGTGCCTCCTATTCACCAAGAGTTGACACTAGAGGGGCTGCAAAAGAGGTGGTGGATCTGTCCTCCAAGGAGCCAGCCATGGCTGTTGCTGCTGCCGCAGCAGTGGTAGCAGCAGCGAACAATGCGTTCCTTGGAGGCCAGAGCTGCTGCACCTGTGGATCCTGATGCTTGAGGCGGTCACCTCACCTTGTCTCATAGGTGGGCCGGCCCTGGGCAGAACTTCTCTAGCTCATGCTGAAGCAGGGGAAGGCGCCATAGCCCACATGCTTTGCATGCCAAAAAAAACCTCCATTCAATCCTTGGGATCGCCAGTCAATAGGATCAGGTAAGAGAGGATGGGAAAGGTCTAGGAACATAGAAGGCTGTCTTATATTGAGGGAGGCCATTGGTGCATCTAGATCAGTGCTGTCTACACTTGCTGAAGTTCTCCAGAATTTCTAGCAGGGTTCTCTCCCAGCCCTATCTAGAGAAGACAGGGATTGGACCAGGGACCTCTCACATGCAAGACAGATGTTCTACCACTGAGCTATGGCCAGTCTTTGCAGGCTTCCTGCTGGAGATCCAGGGCTTGGGAGAGTAGACAACACTGGCCTATATTGCCTGACCTAGTTTATGGTTGACTCCTGCACACTTGAAAAATTCACACCAAACTAAGCCAGTTCACTGCTATTTTGGGTTGCTTCTTTTTGGTGGTCCTCCATGTTTTCTGGGAGGCTTCTCAAAAGGCTTCCAGATCAAAAGTGAAGCTATTATAATCTTCCCCTCTGCTTTTTGTTCACCCCACTGGTTCAATGCAGATGCATCAAAGCAAAGAAAGAATTGTTACTTTTTTAAAAAATAATCAAAATATGTTGTTAAATTGTCACTGTTGGCTTCACTTTTGTTGCGGTCTTATGGAAGCCCACTGTGGATCAAAGGGTTTAAATGATCTCCGTATTATCTGTAGACTTTGTGCTCTTGGCAAGACGTAAAGAGGAGTGCATAAAACAGATGCAAATATGCAGAGATATTAATTTTGGCATAGTATCCAAAGTTACGCAGTGATCCAGCTAATAGTTTCAGAGGCAGGGAAGCTGAGGTTCTTTGGCTTCACTAAAACCATTTTATGATTGCCTGGTAAGTCGAAAAACTGATGCTCCCTGGGGATTTCACACATTTTCCGGAAATGAAGTCACTGCAAACTTGCTGTCAAGGGCAAAAACCACTTTCTGAAAGACAGTCTGTTCACATTCAGGTAGCATAATTGGAGCTTTCAGGGAATTTCTGAGACAACTTGATAGTTTTAAGGAGGAAAATATCAATGCATCCAAGCTATTCTGGTGTAAGAGGAACGCTTGCCCAGCGCTAACACCAGCCAGAATGCTTCCTATTGCTCCAAACAAAACAACTATATCATACCTTCCAAGTGCCCCAGAAAAAAATGGGACATCTCTTTTTCTTCTTTATTTTTTTGCATGAGATTTCAGTGGCCATTTTGGGTGCCGTGCTCTTGCACATTCTCACGCTGTGCTCTTGCCCCCACAATGTGTTTTTACAGATCTATGATTCTATGACTTTGTGACTCAGCCATAGGGTAGATATCTGTGTGGAGTGGGAATCCTTTTAGCTACCAAGAACCCAAACCACAAAGGATTTAATGGTCAAAAGCGGCACTTTTAAATCAGCCCCAGAAATTAGGCCTAGAGTAATGTCGAAGAATTGTTGCTTTTGAATTATGGTGCTGGAGGAGACTCTTGAGAGTCCCATGGACTGCAAGAAGATCAAACCACTACATTCTGAAGGAAATCAGCCCTGAGTGCTCACTGGAAGGACAGGTTGTGAAGCTGAGGCTCCAATACTTTGGCCACCTCATGAGAAGAGAAGACTCCCTGGAAAAGACCCTGATGTTGGGAAAGATTGAGGGCACAAGGAGAAGGGGCCGACAGAGGACGAGATGGTTGGACAGTGTTCTCGAAGCTACCAGCATGAGTTTGACCAAACTGCGGGAGGCAATGGAAGACAGGAGTGCCTGGCGTGCTCTGGTCCATGGCGTCATGAAGAGTCGAACACGACTAAATGACTAAACAACAACAGAATGTCCCCCAGTTTGCCCCTGAGAAGATACAGCAAGATTTTGGGGTTAGAATTTGAATTCTCGGGACCCCTTGGGGTTGGTGCCTATGAAAGCAGGTGCTCTACCCCTGAGTTATGGCACAACAGTCCCAGTAATAAAAACAGCCATAAGAGCAGCTCCCCACAGAAGTTCTGAAGTTCTTCTGTGGCAGCCAAGGGATGGAACAAGCTCCAGACACTTCAAGGAACCTGGCCATTTATGAGGAAAGGGTCCGACTGCAACAGGGAGAGTTCCTTCGTTCTCCAGAACTTTGCTGCGTTTAAACCACACTTGCCGTACACGGTCATGGGAGCTATTTATAGCTTGCCAATTAATCCAGCTCAAACCATGCCGCAGGATTAGAAATTGCATAGCGCCTTAATTATAGGTGTATAAATTTGAGGCCAGCAGCTGCTCCGGCAATCTCAGCTGGGAGATGTTTGCCCTAAACAGTCAACACCCCAGGCTGGATGTAGCTCCATGGGCCCAAGTCTGCCTAAGCTCGCTCATGCCCATCTGTTGCAATGGCATCTTGCCCATTCGCAACTTGCTTGGACCCGTGCCCTGCTGCGACACAGGTGCCAGGCAACGGGGTGGGTCGCCTCGCTTTCTGCTGGAAGCTACAGAAGCCTCTTTCCCATTGATGGCATCTGCAGAGGACAGGAGGACAACGAGCAGCGTGGAGAAACAACATGCCTGGATAAAGTAGCTTTGCATGGGAGCCTGCGGAGATAATCTGCAGAAAGATGTCTCAAATTTATCTGTTGGACTTGAAAGATAGATATTTTGGTGTTGAGTCCTGGAACATTATACAGTGGTACCTCGGGTTAAGTACTTAATTCGTTCCGGAGGTCCGTTCTTAACCTGAAACTGTTCTTAACCTGAAGCACCACTTTAGCTAATGGGGCCTTCTGCTGCCACCGCGCCACCAGAGCACGATTTCTGTTCTCATCCTGAAGCAAAGTTCTTAACCCGAGGTATTATTTCTGGGTTAGTGGAGTCTGTAACCTGAAGCATCTGTAACCTGAAGCATATGTAATCCGAGGTACCACTGTATATAAATCAGAATTGCATTCTTGATGATTCAGGTTCTTTAAGCACTTAACCATGGATACATGCTGGAGAAGAGGGACGCGGGTGGCGCTGTGGGTTAAACCACAGAGCCTAGTGCTTGCCAATCAGAAGGTCGGCGGTTCGAATCCCTGTGACGGGGTGAGCTCCTGTTGCTCAGTCCCTGCTCCTGCCACCCTAGCAGTTTGAAAGCACATCAAAGTGCAAGTAGATAAATAGGTACCGCTCCAGCAGGAAGGTAAACGGCGTTTCTGTGCGCTGCTCTGGTTCGCCAGAAGCGGCTTAGTCATGCTGGCCACATGACCCGGAAGCTGTACGCCAGCTCCCTCAGCCAATAAAGCGAGATGAGCACCGCAACCCCAGAGTCGGCCACGACTGGACCTAGTGGTCAGGGGTCCCTTTACTTTACCTTTACATGCTGGAGAAGAAAAGGTTAAGGGGAGACATGAGAACTACCTTTAAAAAAAAGCGAGGGATAGCTCAGTCAGTAGAGCATGAGAATCTGAATATCGGGGTCATGGGTTTGAGCCCCATGTTGGGCAAAAGATTCCTGCATTGCAGGGGGATGGACTAGATGACATTTGTGGTCCCTTCCAGCTGTACACTTCTATGATTCTATGAAATATCTGGTGAGCTGTCATGCAGGGGATGGAGCAGACTTATTCTCTGTTGCTCCAGACAGCAGGGTGGAGATGGCAAGGGAGCAATGAATAATGTTTATTATAATATGCATGTACCTTTTTGATTATTAGCATGTGCGATTTAAGCTTCATTTTCTTCTTCTTGGTTATATGAGCCCATTTAAGTTTCACAATGGCATGAACTTTGCATTAAGTGCCAAACACATTATATGTTTCTGCATATTTATTGCATTTTTGGAAATTGCTACGACCTATGGCTGAGGCAATAAAGACCAGTGACTTACAATCTATCAGCTGGAGCCTTCTGCCAAGGACCACAAACTTCCAATATTTCGCTTTCCTCCAAAATTACAGTAGAAATCATTTCAGCCACTTTGGATGTAACTTAAAGAAGGGAACACCAAATGCCTTGGATAAACATGAAATGGCTGGGGATATAAGAAGCATGGCAAAAAGTTTCACCAGTACACTAGGAGAACTATGTTCCACGAGTCTCTTTGCTTTTATTTTTCAATTTTAAACAAAAGGCATAAAACCTGGGTTTGTTTTCACTAGGTTGTGTGCAGAGAGGGACCCATTTGCAGCTGAGAACGGAAGTTATTTTGGCCAGACATGCACTGCCCTTTCACAGGAGATGCAGAGAAAGAGGATGTTGGATCCTTCCTGTGTCCTAGTGACATCCTGCACACCTGTGCGTAGCTCGCCAGCTGGGAAATGCAGGCAGAAAATTCATACCGAGAACGGGTCAGAGGCTGAGAGCCTACTGACTTCCTCTCTCCCACTCAAGCAGTGATAACAGGCTCACCAACTGTGTCACATTCACACCATAACGATGAAAGCACTATGCCACCTTAAATAGTCGTGGATTCATCTCAAATAATTCTGGGAGCGGTAGTCTGTTAAGGGTGGTGAGGACTTCCCTTTTCCTCTCACAGAGCCACCATTCCCAGAATTCCCTTAGAAGAGCGATGGATTGTTAAAGCACTCTAAGAATAATGCTTGCACTGTTGGCATGCTTGAACTGTGCCTACCTGTTAGGGAGGATGTCAGGAGCAAGTCAGCCATGACTCACACAGAGTCAGGGAAGTTACCTCTTTATTCAAGGAAACAAAACAGCTCAGGTCTAGTGAGCACAGCCACTCTTCCCAGCAGATCTTGGACTGAAGGTCTCCACCTTCCCACAGCTCTCTAAGCCTTCCCTGGCTCCTTACAAGCAACCTGAGACTTCTCTGCCTTGTCTGCCTTTGTTCCACCCTCTTCATACCTCTGTGTGTTCTGGGAGATGGGGGGAAGTGAACTGGTCGCAGCAAGAGGGGGAGACTGCCTGGCTTCTTCAGCCCACCTCATCGCTGCCTCTTGACCCCACCTTTCCAGCCTCCACTTCTGCCCTTAGTTCTGGACTGATCTCTGCCCCAGCCTCTTCCTGCTCAATAAACCAAGTTGCCTTTTCAGCTTCTGACACCTCCCCACCCCCTACTCTTCTCCCTCTTCTCCCTCTTCTCCACTTGTCATTGTCCTACCACCAATCTCCTGCCTCTGAGAGTTCATTCCGGGGGTGGGAGGTGGGGAATCCCAGACCCCCCAAGTGTCCCTATTTTCCAGGAACAGTCCTGGATTTACAGAAGCCATCCCGGCTTTTCCTATTTTCATCAGAGAAGTGTTGGATGGTATGGAATAGGAGATCTCTATTTTCATCAGAGAAATGTTGGGGGGTATGCATCAGGACCACTCTGTGCGTCCTTGGAGACAAGCGGGGAGGGGAGCTTGTTGCAGTAGGAGAGCCAGGCCCCCTATAGTCTTCTGCAGCCTCTTTCCCCCCACCCTCCTCTGCTTCAGCCTCTGAGTTGGAACTGCTCCCTGTCACAGGCCCTCCCTGCTCACTAAATCCTGTCGTCTCTTCAGCATCCAACAACTCCTCCCACTCTTCTCCCTCTGACCTCTCCTTGGTGTCGCCACCACCAATCCCTTGGCTCTGAGCCTCCCTCCTCTGGGATTTCCCTTGGAGTTCCCACCACACCTCTGCCTCCAGCCAGTCCATGACACTACCTTGCTGCTGCCTCACTCCTACCTCTCTCCATCAGCTCAGCTGGAGGAAGGTTAGGTGAGTGGTGCAGCCGAACCATGCTGCCTCCTACCACCTTTGCGCTGAGCCACAGTTTGGCTCGGCATTACAGCGCATGCAAAGCAGGTCAGTGTCCAAACAAGTTATTAAAACAGTCAGCAAACTCGTGGATGGCACCAGCTGCTTCTGAAATTCCTTCTTTAAACAGCTGGAATCCCCTTTACTTTTTTACTTACTCAAATGCACACACACAGATATGTTAAGCGCGTGCAGATGCAGAAAGGAGTGTGTGTGTTTGCTGGCACAATTCCCTGCACGAGCTTCCAGGGTTCTGCTGAATGGGCATCTTTGCCAGGAAAAGCATGTGGAAAGGTACCCTTTGAGAGTTGTCCGCACGGGGCTGTTTGAGAAGGAACCCTCCCTTTCAAAGGACTTCAGGATCACAGCGTTCTGCTTAATGAAATATTATTCCGCCGGCCACCGATGATGGCATTAACTTGCCGATCAGGTATCGTTGATTCCCACGCTTTCCCCGTCGGGCACGGTGGACAGGCGAGAGAAAGAGGCAGTTTAACGAGAAGGCGGCATCAACCAGCCGGCAGCCTCCTCTCCGTGGCTCTCATGAAGGTGAAACAGAGGACTTAATTAATTTGCGTGCAATGTGAACTCAGCAGCAGAAGGGAGCCTCTACAGTCCCTGAACCACAGACTGCAGCGAGCATTTCTGGGCCACTGCCCTGGCATCTCTCCCGTATGCCTTTCTTTGGGTGGGTGCCAGGGCCAGGATCGTCAGGCAAGCAGTTCACGTTCCAGTCAGTCCTGGTTACGATGGCCAGGGAATAAGGAACCTTGCCATGCTCTTCACTTCAGCCTTGCCCGCCCCGTAGGTTAGCCAGGACTGGCAATGGTATGGATCTTCCTTCTCCTGGGACCGACCCACAAGACTCTTCTCCTCTCTTGCCAATGCAGCAGAGGCAAAAAGGGGGCGCAAGAGCAAAGCTATTGAAATACTTGCTCAGAACGTTTAAATCAACGGCCATTATAGTACATCTGCATGGCAAACATAAATCCGTTTTGTACCAGTTTAGTTCCCATTGTTTTCCCTCAAAAAGTCCTGCAAATTATTCCTTACAGGAATTGTTTTAGCTCAGGCTTCCTCAACCTCGGCCCTCCAGATGTTTTTGGCCTACAACTCCCATGATCCCTAGCTAGCAGGACCAGTGGTCAGGGATGGTGGGAATTGTAGTCCCAAAACAGCTGGAGGGCCAAGGTTGAGGAAGCCTGCTTCAGCTCCTTGGCTCCCTTCACTTCCAGAATAATAAGGTTCCCTGGGCTGAAGGAGTGGCTGTTAAACCAATTTATGGCTGCATAAATTGGTTTATTCATTAAAGCATGTCCCCCCCCCACCTGCAAAGAATTCTGGGAACTGTAGTTTACCCTCCACAGAGCTACAATTCCCAGCACACTTAACAAACCATGGTTCCTAAGATCGTTTGGAGGGAAATGTGCTTTAAGTCTGTGGTATGTATGCATACCCTCCAACATTTCTCCCATGAAAATAGGGAAGTCCTATATAATAATAATAATAATACCCCGCCCATCTGACTGGGTTGCCCCAGCCACTCTGAGCAGCTTCCAAAATATATAAAAACACTATAAAGCATTAAACATTAAAAAACTTCCCTATCCAGGGCTGCCTTCAGATGTCTTCTAAAGGTTGTAGAGTTACTTGTCTCCTTGGCTTAGGGGTCACATAACTCCATACCCTCCAGCATTTCTCTGGTGAAAATAGGGACATCCTAAGGGAAAGTCGGACATTCTGGGTTCAAATAAAAATCTGGGATAGCTTCTGTATATCCAGGACTGTCCCTGCAAAATAGGGACACCTGGAGGGTCTGGTGTACGCAGTCTGTAAGCTAAGCAACTGCAAGGAGCATAGATAGTAATGGCTGAGCATGCAGCATTGGAAAAAAAGTTTCTATAGGATTCCTATGCAATGGAAATATCCAGTTCACTGGCAGAGGAAGAGGAGTGCGTGGGGAGCACACCGTCCCCAGCAGCGCGATCCCAGTGGGGTGCCATCGCGGCTGCCCGCCACACCCCCAAGATGCGCACCACGCCCCTGCAGGTGTCGCACCATGCCCCCACGACGCATGCCAGCCTCGCCCCTGCCTGCTCTCCGCCCCCCAGTGCCAGAGCATGAATCTCCACCACTGATTCAGTTACAAGGGGATGAGGAGGAACGGACTCCAGCTTTGGAATGGCTAACTGAGCAGTATGAGGCAAAACAGAAGATGTGGGTGTTAGGAAGAGCTCTGTGCATTTTTGATTCTAAACCGACCCAAGCACCAAAGACGCTCAGAATTTCATGCTGAATACAGAAGCTGGCATCCTGAGAATTTCAGCTTTTCGTTAAAAACACAGTTTGTAGTTCTTAAGGCTGCAGAGGGATCTGGTGTGAAAAGATCAGTTAATTATTATTATTAGTAGTAGTAGTAGTAGTAGTAGTAATATTTTTAAAAAAGCAGTAACAACCAAAACAGACAGAATATGGAAGATTTCTGTGGGAGGATGGAGAGAGAGGCTTCATTGCCCTGGATAGCTCCTTGCCACTCCCCCAGATTAGCAGAAGCAAGACCAATTATGCCAAATAAGCAAATGCATACAAATGGGCATCATTTGCACCGCCGAAATTCTGATTGGTTTCCTAGTTGTTGCGGGAGCGAATTAGGGTGGCTACTTACGCATTGCCAAAGGAGAGGAATTGCATCCCATACACAAAAGGACAAAAGAGGACACAGATGTGTGCAACATCTGCACAAGCCGATGTATAAGTATAG